CTTAAAGTTTTAGGACTATGGCAGAAATTAAAATATCTTCGGAGATAAAACCATTCAATTTTCAAAATGCAATAGTATTTACTTTCATATTAATTGTTAGGAAATATCCACTCTAACTGACATGATCAGACTAAACAATTTTGTTTAAAACCCATTGTTCTCATTATAAAAGAATACATGTTTACTATAAAGTATTTGCAAGACACATAAACAAGAATAAAGAAGTACATATCTATATTTCACTAAATTAGGATCTCAAAGGAAATGTAGTTTTGCTTTTTCCTTAGAGAGACCATGAGATTTTTCTGTATTATTAAATCTTCTCCACAGACATGAGTTTAATGACAAAAATAATATTGCAAAAGATGGATGCATCTTTTTAAAGCTAGTAGTTATTATATGTTAAGAGCTATGTAGAGCTATAGTGTAAATTTGGGGAAACTATTAAATAACAATTAGGATTCCAGGAATCAAAAAAATAGCTATTTTTACAAATTTGTCTGTACTCTTATCTCCCATATATGTGTTAGTGATAGCTTTTAAAAATTCAACTTCCTTGGGGCGCCTGGGTGGCTTAGTCAGCTGAGCAGCTGACTCCTGATTTCGACGCAGGTCATGATCTCAGGGTCCTGGGATCAAGGCTCTGTGCTCAGCGGGGAGTCTGCTTGGGATTCTCTCTCCCTCTGCCCCTCCCCCAGCTCGCTCTCTCTCTAAAATAAATCTTTAAGAAAAAACTCAACTTCCTTGAGGTATAATTTACATATATTGAAACATACATATTTTAAGTGTACTATGTACACTTAAGTGCATGCATGACTTCAGCACATGCATACATCAGGGTGATGGCCACCATTACCAAGATATAGAACATTGCCATCATCCCCCAAAAGTTCCCTCATGACCCTCTGCTATCAAATTTATATTTCTACCCCCATTCCCAGGCAACCACTAATCTGCTTTCTGTCATTATAAATTAATTTTGCCTTTTCTAGAATTTCATGTAAAAAATATTATGCAGTGATTTGTTTGTGTCTGGCTTCTTTGTTCAGCATATTCTTCCAGGAATTCATTCATGTTGCATGTTCTTCAAATTTGTTTTTACTGCCAAGTAGTGTTTCACTGCATGGATATATAGCACAATATGTTTATCCATGGGTTATTTCCCTTGGATATTTTCCATTTTTCCTCCTAACTGTATATCATAAGGACTTTCCTCATTATTTTGAAGTATTGGATATTAATCCATAATATGCATGTATCCTAATTCACTTAACTGTTCTACTTCTACTAGATATGGAAGCTCTTTATCATGTTTTGAAATTATTATAAATAATGTTATAAACATATTGGAATCTGATTTGGAAATAGGATTCTTGGGCTGTAGTCTTTATCTTTCAAAGGTATAGAAATATTTTCACTCTCTTAAATTCTAAGGTTGCAAATGAGAAGTCTGATATCTGTCTAATTCTCTTCCTAAGAAAACTTTTTTTACTATATTGAAAAATTTATATGATTTTAAATTTATACTAGTTCAAATAGGTCTCTAGGATATGCATATATGCATGTCTCTTTTTAAATTTTTTAATTTATTTTTTCATTAAAATTTTACTTAGTTAACATATAGTGCAATATTGGTTTCTGGAGTAGAATTCAATGATACATCACTTACATACAATACCCAGTGCTCATCACAACAAGTGCCCTCCTTAATACCCATCCCCCATCTAGCCCATCCCCCCTACCGTGCCTCTTTAAAAAAAAAAAAAAAAGTTCATCAAAAACTAATGATGTAATGTATGGTGATTAACATAACAATAAAAACATTTTTTAAAGTTTTCTTGGAACTCACTCACCATTTTAAATTTGAAAATTCAAATTTTATTATAGCTTGGAATTTTAAAAAAATAATCTTTTAAATGTTTGCTTCTTCACTTTTTGTTTCTTTTAAAACTGTTTCTAGCTTGCACCTAGACCATATTTTGTCTCTTCTATTTGCCTTAGTATTTCTTATATTTTTATTCATCATCTATTTCATTGCATATTTTTCTACCTTATGAAATATGCTCTCTATTTGACCTAACAGCCTAAGTTGTTTTTTCATCTGTGACAATTTTATAACTTTTTCTGTGATATTTTTAAAATCTCCAATCAAGTTTTACTTTAACTTCCAGAAACTCTTTTTCTGCCCTCTACTGCTGTGTTTTAAGGTTTTTCATTTCATTTTTTGTGTATACATGTCCATCCATATATACATACATATTCTTTCTTTTTTTTTTTTCCAAATCCTTTTTTTAAGCTGTCACATTTCCTTAAATGGCTTGATATCTTTCTTTGTCTTTGGATGTCAGTTGAATTAGGACTCCTAATCACCTGAGTACTTTAAGATGGAATTTCTTGTGCAATGTTGAACCAGCAGGTAAGCTTACTTGGTCATATCATTGAAGTGTATGAGGAGAAGGCTCTCTATTCTCAAAAGTAAGCTGGAAGGGGCTACTCTGATCAACACTTCAACTTTCTACTGGCATCAGTGGCAACAGGCAGCCTCTCCCAGAGCTGCGTGCAACAATTGGGCAGGTGTAGTCCTGTCCTTCACTAGATGCCTGCTTCTCCATCCCGGACCTAGGGTCCTACAGCCAGTTTCATCTGCAGACGCAAGCATCTTTCCATTCCAAAAACCTTCAGTATCATTCCCTAGCTTCACAAACACTGACTTACACCTATATCTTCTTTTAGAACTCAAAATCCTGTATATCTGAGACTTCCTCCAGTTATTCTCCCAGCTATTTAGAAATTCTCACAGTTATTTTGAAATTGTACTCCTGAGCAGAATGTTGAGATCGGGTTAAGAGCAACAGGACCTAGTGATAAAGTTTCTGAAAACCATGGATTAAATGACTGGATTTTAATCCAAGAGCAAGAGGAATGCACTGGGTTTTAAACAGGTGAGTGAATGTGATAAAATCCATAGTTTAAGAAGAAATATTCCAGCTTCAGTCTGGAGAATATCCTTGGAGGCAGGGAGACTGGTTGTAATGGAGACTCTAAAGGCCTAGATTAGAGCAGAGATAGAAGCAAAATGCAAATATATTTGAGTGTTGTTCAGGTGCACAATCAGTAAAACTTGGTGCTAGATCAGCTGTTGGGACTGAGAGAGAGAAGGACCTGATCAGACTTCTTATTGGACTGGTAGATGGCTAAGACTTCACTGAGGCATAGAACACACTAGAGATCTCAGGTTATATTTATTTGAAAGTGATTTTTCCTCTTATCCTCTTACACCCATGCAGCAACATATTTATAGGCCTAAATTCCTAGAGGAGGACTGATTACATTACATTGCATGTGCATTTGAATCTTGATACATATTACCACATTGCTCCCTTAAAAGTTGGGTTTTGTTTTGTTTTGTTTTTGGTTGATCTGATATATGAAAAATGATGTCTCGCTGTCAGTTTGATTTTTACTTTTTTTTCTTTTTGGGGAGTTAGGATGTTTAGAAGACTAAAGGTAGGTAGGTAAGTAGATAGGTAGATAGATAGATAGATAATTCTATTAATATCCCTGTTCAGTTTTCTATTGGCTTTCTTTTCCTTATTGATTCTTAAAGCTCTTTACAAATTAGGAGATCAGGACTTTGTCTGTCCTATGCATTGTAAATATTTTTGCCAGTTAAATGTGTGGCTTATCATATATAGAAAGTTTTAATTCTAATGGAGTCAGATTGGTCAATTTGTTTCTTTTATGACTTCTGAGTTTTTTATAATGCTTAGAAAAGACTTCCATAATTATTTCATAATTACTTACATGTCATCCTCCCATCTTTTATCTAATATTTTTATAATTGCATCTTCAAGCTTAAATATTTAATTCATATGAAATTGATATTAATGAAAGAAGATAAGAATCCACAGATGCCTACTTAAGGCCCCAGCACAATTCACTGGATAACCCATCATTTCCTCTTCTGCTTTAAAACTGTCTTTTTTTAAAACTATAAAGTAAATTTCTATACATATGTATCTCTATTTTTACATTCTCCATTCTGTTCCATTGAGCCCATCTATTCTTGTGTTAATCAAAACTGTTTCAATTATTGTGAAGTTATAATGTATTTATTTTCTATTGATGCTTATCCCATTCATCACTCTCATTTTTTAATAGATATTCTTACAGGTTTATTTCTGACATAAACTTTAGAATCAGATTGGTTTGAAAGAAGCTCATGTTGGTATTTCTATTAAATTCAGTTTAATTCCCAGATTTTAGATTAATTTTGAGAAATCTGTTATCTTTATGATGTTGGGTCTTCTTTAATAAGTAAAGATAATTGTCTTTATTCACTTATTCATTTCTTTTTTTTCTTTCATACATATAACTGAGAACTTTCTGATTTTTTTGCATGAAAGAAAATGATTGATTCTTTAGTCACTTAACTCTAGTTAAGAGCTGTAGAGTTGATTCTCTTTGATTTTCCACATATACAAGCATATCATTTGCAAATGATAATTTTGCTTCCAGTTTCTATAACTCTTTTTTTTCTTTCTCTTGTCTAATTGCATAGGCCAGTAACTCCAGAACAGTGTCAAATAATAGTGATGACTTTTTTTGTTTTCCATGACTTTACTGGCAAGGCCTTAGATGTTTAACAAATAAACATTTTATCAGCTTTCAGCAGAGATACCTTACACCGTTTCTGTACTTTCCAATTCTCCTGGGCTTTCTTTATTGGCTTTCTTTGTCCAGTACCTTCAACCCTGAAAATCCCTACATTTGTTTAAAGATAAAAAAAACTAAATTCTTCTTCACCTATTGTTTCCAAAGGAAAAACTGGAGTAGAGGGCAGGAAGAAAGAGGAGCTTGCTAAACTGCACAATGGCCAAAACATAGGGTTAGAGAAAGTTCCATCTAGCTGAGGGAGTCCCTCTCTACAGAAGGAAGAACCGGAGGGTGGGGAGGAGTCGGGGCCACCCCCGCCCCCAGCCCCACGTCGGTGCCACCCGCGGAGATGAAATGTGAGCCCGGGTGGCCCAGGACTCAGGAGCGGGCTGCTTCGTCTTCCGCCTGAACGCCGCGGTCAGAGACAAAGAGACCTCGGTCCCAGCGCAACCCCGCGCGGGCCGGCCCGGGCTCCCCTCGAAGGCTCCCAGGGCAATGGCCCCCCCGCGATCCCCGTCTCGGGAGTGCTGACCTCTCCCTCTGACCGCCCTCCAGCCCCTCCGCGTCTGGGGCTCTCCTTTCGTTCCCAGCCCCCTTTCCAGTCTGTCTGTCCGTCGGTCCTGGCGCGCAACCTCCGGCCACCGGCTTGGATGGACGCGCGGAGGCTGCCCGAGTGTCCAGGGATCTTGCTTCCGAAGTTGGTCCTGCTCTTTGTCTACGCAGGTCAGTGGCTTGGGGAGGCGAGAGAGGGGAAGGGGACTTGGGACTGAGCCTGCGTCGCCCTCGGGGCAACGCGGGTAGGGCGGGACGCACGGGGACCTTTGTGGGAGGGCCAGCACTGTGTGGTCCCCGCCGGGTAGCCACAGAAGCCGGTGCGCCGGGACCCTCGGCTCGACCTCCACGCGTTTTTGTTTTGTTTTGTTCCTTTTCTTTAACTTTCCCCTTTTTTCCTTTTCGCTTCCTTTCTCTTTCCGCAAGCAACTTAAAAACCCCAGTCCCACAGTAGGGGAATTTTACTCTCTGGATAGCATAAAAGTTATCCAATCCTATTCACGACTCGGGAATCTGAGGGTTGAGGGCAGAGACTGAGGGTGGGAGAAAAGCATCTTTAAAAAGCACCTGAGATTAGAGGTATTTGCTGAAGTTTTAAAATAAACTAATGTGGTGACTTTTCCATTTCAGAGTAGGCTACCCCCTGCCCCTGCTACACCCACATTCTGAATATTTCTGAATTAAAAGCTTTAGACCTTTGGGTTTCTTCTTCAGATCATTCTCAAGGGTAGTAGTCTGGGTAATTGGATGCTTTGAGTTCAAATATAAAGTTTTTGAGGGGTGTAAATTCAACCAGAGACTCTCTGTTTTCATTGATTTCGTTAAGCACTGTTTATAGGTGAAAGGGATTTCATTTCCCTCTTTCTAATTATTCTTCCTGAGCATTGCTAATAATTGATGGAGCAAAGCGGTTTTCTCGTTTTGTACTGAGATGGAGCTCAAAATGACCCTTCACTGGTTATTCATATATAAGGTTAATTAGACATGTGGTTTTGCATCTGCTTTGTATTCATAAAACAAGCTAAAAGCAAAGTTGTTTGTAAAGTGTTTTTATGTCTCTCACTTCCAAGGACAAAAATCACAGTAGTAAATTTATGTAGCACTGATTTAGCTTTTGATACTTACAAAGATATTGCAACTGAAATGAAGATGTTCTTCAACATTGTTACTGAACATCAAGAGAATCGAACTCATTCAACCTTGCCAGAAATGACTCCCCAAACTTCTATAGAAATTTTCAATTTGTACACTAAAATGTACATTAGTAGCTGTCTATAAGTTATTTAAAAGATATTTTATTGCAAGGAAAATGCTGACTTTCAAATACAAAAACTTATAAAAGTAGGGAAAGTACTTCCTATTTAATGAGGAGAAACCACATTCTAACCTGTTTACAATGCTTATTTCTTTTACTTACAGTGTGTGAGGTTTTCAGAATTTGAGAGACTGAAACAATTGCATTAATACTAGTTTTATATTAAAATCTTATTAGTTCCCTTGAAGCTATGATTCTTTCTACCTTCTCTGTTTATCCAAAGGAAAAAAAAAATAAGAAAATAGAACACGACCTCACTCATCTTTACTCAGTCGCTCCCTTGAACAACAACTTATTCTTTTGTCTATTTTGTTCCCTGTGGTAAACCGAAAGCTTCTAATGTGCACACTTTTCCTTCCTTTCCTCCTGTGCCCCCAGTGCTAGTTGCACAACCCCCTGGGTTCAGGAAATCTGCAGAGCTGGCTGGCAACAAGTTTGGTTAGTTTAGAAAGCTTTCCTCCATTCATTTCTTCTCTCCTCCCCCATCCCTCCCTAGGAAGCTACGAAGTAATCACAAGCCAGTAATACCGAATTGACATACTGTCTTTGATAAGAAATGTTTAGCTAATGTGTTCTTTCGTGTTAATTCCTGAACTCTTCGCTTCAGAAGCCCTTTTATGCTTGCTATATTTATTTATGCAATATTTGTTGAGTGAGGTATTTTGCGTGATATATAGGACAGAAGCCATGCTCTGAGTCTTGTCTGGGAGACAAGGCGTGCCTACTTTAATGTATAAAAGGCTGTGCCCTAGAAGTACAGCTGTGTGCTATAGGTGTTCACAGGAGGGGACCTCGTCGCTGGCTTAAGAGTGTAAACTCTATGAAGATGATGTCTGTCTGTCTTGTTCAGCGTAATATCCAGAGACTAGCAAAATACCTGACCCACAAGAAGAGCTCAATAAATATTTGCTCAGAGAAACTGAATTAAGGAGGGATTTTAGGAACTAGACCTTTGATAGGGAAGCCTTGGACATAAGGGAATGGAGTAGGATATAATGTGAACAAAGGCAAAAATCATGAGATACCTATTTGCAAAAGTACATGATTCATTTTGGTTGGAACTAAGAGATGTGGCTGGAAGTGAGGACTGGAGTTAAGTGGGGAGACAATGCAGCTATACTAGTTGAGACACCCTGTTAAATGAATTGCCAGCTTTAATGGGACAAAAACCTAAGTAGATGCATTGCTCATAGCCTGAATTATTTTCCCCCAAAGCAAACGCATTAAATTCATGTTGCATTCATTAAGGAGGTAAGAGCAAAGTTTCTCTACCTAAAGCATCATGTTTTGCTGTGGAACCACCTTTGGAAAGAGACCCAGTGAAGTTTATATTATCATCCAACTCCCAATGCAGGCGACAAAGACAGGATTTGGCCAAGGTTTTACCTTCCCCCGGCCTCAGCCAGTGACTTCTGTCCCCTCCCTTTCCTTCCTCTCTTATCCTCAGCTGTAGCTTACAAGAACCATTTCTGAGCAAGTGCTTGCGGCCAGATGTTGCTTTTCCTGTGCTTCACATTCCTTAAGGCGGGGTGAGGGTTGGAGAACCTTCTTCCAGATCATGCTTTTAATTAAAGTCACTGAAGAAAGTTTCCACTGGCTATTTGTCAAGGATATTAACTTGAATATTAGAAGTAATGTTGTTTATCTTCTGAAACAATTGGAATGTTCCATTCTTTACAAATGAGAAAATGCTCTGGTATCTTCCAAATCTGATCTTCATAGAATTATTCTGAAATAAACTGGAGAAAGCAACTAACATTAAAATAAGATTTGAGGTGTGGTCAAAACCTGAGTTTGGAAATGTGATTGTGAATGTATTTGCCGTACTATTAAATCTGCCCTTTTCAGTTGTTTAATTCTGGGAAGTTGACAGGAGTGCTGGAAAATGCCATAAAAAATAATGAACAATGTGTGACATGATCTTGATGTTTGCTGCAGGTATAATCCAGCTTCTTGGCTACAAGATAATGGGCTTGGTTTCCTGTAGCATTGGTTCAAAATATTTTGATAACACCATGTCCTTATAACAGTAGTAATTGGAATACAATAATAGTAATTGGATCTTTGATATTCATGGAGAGCTGAATAAGATGTCACTATCATGGGCATCATGATATTTTTTCCTCTCATTTCTTCTTACGACATCTCAGAAGAGAACATTAAGGTAGAAATAAAGTCAAGGGGAAAAATACGAATGTTTTCACTTGCTCTACGAAGGCCATGCAGTATTGACAAAGGTGAATGAACTTTTGATCACATCCATTTGTCAAAAATCATCCTGCCAGGGAGGTGATTTAAAAACAAAATCTGAATTTTCCTTTCTAGGTAAATCAATCACATGGACATACAGACAGAGTGTAACATAGTTCACTTTTCAGTTATGACTTGACAGGCAAGCAAAAGTGTTCCATAATTTAGTTCATAGTTGATGTTACCTTTAGAGAGTGAGCTGGAAAGGACTTATTTTGTGATTCTTAAACACCATAACTTAAATTACCAGCCTATAACTTAATGTTTTCCTAGTCATGTACCTGAAACTCACATATCCATTATAATTTATACCACTGAGTATAACTGATAATCTTAACATAAATCAATGAGGTAGCACAAAGAATTTTAAAAGCCAGGGTAACTTTTATTCAGCATTTTGGGTTTAATTTTCATTACCCAAAACATAGGGAAAAAAAGACAGTAATTTGGCTTTATCAGCTCCAACAAGTTCCTTTTACTCAGAAAATACCTTTTCCTCTTCCCACAGTGCTGTTTCATAACTTACTGATTCTTAAATCTGGCATTAAATAAATTCTTAATTATTTACAGGTTAGTTATCTACAGGAACCTCTTCCTACAACTAACTGATTATCTTCCAATCCAGATGGCTTGACAAGATACATATGCAAACTAATTTGTGTAACCATATGTGTGCAAAGTGTAATTATTAAGATAAAAAAGTGTAGAGAAAGGATAACATATAATACACTGTCATGAAAATATACATTATTTTAAAATTATCTCCAGTTGACTTTATACATGTCAATCACACTTTCCATAAAATGAAGTTAATTGGGAGTACTACCCTAAAGTCAAGACTTTATCATTTCGAGATTATTATTAAGAACTCTATTTAAAAAAAGATTTCTATTGAAAAATTGAATGACTGATTCGTTGGATCATTCATTTCTCCTTTCATTGTCTCATTCAACAATTCTAACTACCAATTATGGTACTTGATCAGGAAATTCAAAAAAGAATGATCTTTGCCTCTTCTAGATTTATGTCCAGGAGGGAAGGAAGACTCGTTTAGATGCTTACACATGTCTTGGAATTCTGAGTACGTACAGTGAATATCTAAATGCACTGAAGAGTGGTCTTTGAGGGTGAGATGTGAAATAGAAGACTTTTTCATGCAGCTGTGATTTCAGAACTGTAAAGGACATATGTGGTGTTTATGTTGCAGAGGATTGCCTTGCTCAGTGTGGGAAAGACTGCAGATCTTACTGCTGTGATGGAACCACACCCTACTGTTGCTCCTACTACGCTTATATTGGGAATATCCTCTCGTGAGTACTTTGGTGCTATTGATGCTCTTCCCATTGCTCAGTTATGTTCTCACAAAGCACTACGTTATAGTTAGGGGCAGAAATTTTGAGAGTCGTTATTGACATAAAATCTTCACGGAGATACTAAACACTCATCACTATCTAGTGTGTTATATTATTTGACAAAATGTGCAAATTGATACGCAAAATAAGCTGCTTTTATTAGAAGGGAATTAAAAAGTATCTTCTGACTGCTTAATTTGTGTTCCAGAATAATAATGGTTTTAGTCAACTGCATTCATATTATTGATCATTTTTTAACATTGTAAATTATATGCTTTTGTCTGCTTTGTTGAAGGATTTGTAAGCTAGAATTTGTCATTTAATTATGGCTAGTTTATTTTGCCATGTATTTGTCTAACCCATTCAGCAGATATCAGGGAAAGGAGACATTATGAATAAAAAACAGTTGAGATATGAAATGTCAATTTTCTACATAATGCATAGTAAATAACTTCAAGAAATAAGTTTAGAGCCCAAGAAAGGCCATCAAGAATGTAAAGGGGTAACCAACTACAAACATCAATGAAACATACACACATAGGATGTGTTGAGCATTTCCCCATAACAAATTAAGAATGTATTTTGGAGGAGCACCTGGGTGGCTCAGTTGGTTAAATGTCTGACTCTTGATCTCAGCTCAGGTCTTGATCTTGGGTCACGAGTTCAAGCCCCACATTGAGCTTCACACTGGGTGTGGAGCCTACGCCAAAAAAAAAAAAAAAAAAAAAGAATTTGTTTTGGAGTTGCTTCTGGGCAAAGGGAAATGGAGAAGCAAGAACCAGCTTCAGGGTTGTATGTCTGAAAGGTGTACAAATCTCAGTCCTTCTACACACATCTTGAAGTGGAGAAATCAGAAAATTAGGAATGTTAAGAATTTTCGGAGTCAAAAATCACCCATGGCTTTCCAATAACAGTAAGAGTCTAGCTTCTCAGACTAGCTCCTTAGTTTTTACTTTTCAAGTGAATATCAAGATGATTTGGGAGCTGTTCTGTGGTGGCTTAACTCCTGGCCTGTGAGGGCTTTAGTAGAAACAGGAAAGATTAGGCATGAAGGGAAATGTGCCTGGCTATTTCAGGGCTGTGTCCACTCATATGGCTTATAACTCATCCTCCATTCTGAGGCCAGAAAACCTGGTACCACATAACCTTCCTAGAATCAAAGTTGGGGCTGTTATTAGAGATCAAGTCTCTCTGAATAAGGCCAAAAAGAATCATATTTCAGGATGCTCTTGAAGTCTATCATGGCTATATAAGAAATGGTAGGCTGTAATAAAGATTGATGAGTGGAATTTTAAGCATTCTTTGAAATGCAAAATAAGCCCTAAATAAAATGAATTTTTTCTCATGGGAATCTTGTTGAAAATGGGATTAAGTCCCCTTTTTACATTAGAGATCAGTCAGAATGATATTTACAAGAACTAATCAGTTCAGAATACCCTGAATATAAATATATGATATTTCACATTTGTATATCATTTCTCACTTTTAAAGTAATTTAAAATACATTATTACTGAATTCCATTTCTATTTTTGAGTGGATTCCATATGCCAGCTATTTGCTGCTTTGGGGAGATGTTTAAGTGGGCCCAGCAGGTGGTATAGATTTGAGGAAACTGGCTTCAGAGGGATTCTGTGATTCTTTGGTCCCCTGGCTCCTGGTCCCACCTGCTAATGTCCATCATGGTTTGTATTGTGCCCTCATTTCTCACCTCATAGCTACCTCTACCCTGGTAAATATATAGAGAAGACAAAATGACTTAATTAGAACTTAAGAAATTTAAATGTATAGATGTGCTTTGTATGTTTTATATTTGCATTCACATTTACATTTTTATGGCACATTTTAGTTTTACCCTTGGTTAAAGTAAAGAATTAGTTGAACTGATATATTTATCTGGGTTCTTTGGGCCATGTACTTGTTATGTTTGAAAAAAGGAATTGTGTTTTGAGTGGGGGGAGAGGAAGAAAAACAGATGGCATTATATTTCAGGTTGTTAAAACTGAATTTTCTGTTCAAAATAGAAGCCAAGTAAATCCTTTGCTAAACAATTCTTAGGAGAAAAAAAAAAAAGAGAGAGAGAGAAGCTTTAAAGTGTTTTCCCCCACTGAATAAAGGAGAATACATTTTCAGGATTTCCACTTATTGTTTAAGATTTGAAAAGAGTTCTTAACTCCACCCAAGGCTTTTTTTTTTTTTTAAGTTGGGGTAGGGGGTGGCGAGTAGATAGGGAGAAAAGTCATTCCAAGAATGCTTACAAAAGTTCTTTCATGCACATGTTTTCAAATATTGCTATTTTGGAACTCATAAACTACACTTCCTCTCTTCCAAGTATCCAGGCACATTCTTACTAAAATCATTTTAATCATCTTAACAGAAAATTAAATCTTTGTAGTTATTAGAAAAGTAATAAGGAAGAAAGCAATAAACATAATGGAATGTTATGTATCCTAAATGACTAATTTTATAAATTGGTTATAATTTGGTTTCTATTTTTGTTTGTTTTCAAAATAGAAGATATCTTGGCTCTGTTTAAAATGAAGTAAAAAGAGCGCAAAATACAATTTGGGTCATTCTAGACTGTTCACAAGTTGGTATGGGAAGGTACACTCAATCCTCATTGCTGAGGCCCCTCTAAAATAATCAGAATAGAGATGTTTAGCCCTTAACTGTTTACTTCAACTCTCCTTTCTGTTTTGCAAATTAACCACGAAGGCTCATTTTATAAAGAGATCACAAGAGCTAACTTTCAACTTACCTTTTAGTTGAGAAGTCTTATTTTACTCAGATCCCTCCTTTGTAGACACTTTATATTCTAAATATGAGTTAATTTTGACAAATAAATTCAGATTATACATCACCACATTTTTTTCTTTTTTCAGTTAAAAATTCTTAATTTTACTTATGTCTCATGAAAACCTTTAAAAATTCAACTTTTAACAGCGTATCTACTTTTTAACTGAAATATAACTGGCATATAACATTATATTAGTTTCAGGTGTACCACATAATGATTCAGTATTTGTATATATTGCAAAATGATCACTGCAATAAGCCTATTTAACATTAGTTGATTTAAAATAGCATATTTACCTTTGGTCATTATGGTTATAGATAATAAGCTCAATCTAGAAAAATAGTACCATTTTCCAGAATTTAAGAATGCTTTTACAGAAGTCAACATATACTATCCAATCAGTTATTTACAAATACATGTGGAGTGCCCATTAATTACCATGGCAGTATGGATTCTGGGATCCAAAAATGAATAAATGATATAACTTGACTTCTAGGATTTCACAATCTAATAAGAGAAGAAAGTGTAAACCAATAATTCTAATTCAGTGAATTAATCTATAAAGTGCCATTGGAGGGCCAGGAAGAGAGAAAACAGCTATGTCTTTGTGTGTGTGTGTGTGTGTGTGTGTGTTTAGAAAGAAATGTTTAGAGAAAGTCTCATAAACATGACATTGGGTCAGAGTATTGAAGGAAGAGTAGATATTTACATAAATGGACAGTCAAGAAAGGGAGGTACATTCCAGAGAGAGAGACTCTCAGTTGCAAAGGCAAAGATATAAGAAAGGAAAATGATCAGTTGGGGAAAACCGTGTCATTCAATGTCGCTAGAGAGTGAAGGTTAAACTTTGAATATGGCAAATGAGTACGTAGGGAAGAAAAAGATAGGTCCTGACTTTCACATACTTTTATTGGTAGATTACATACTTCTATTGACCATACCTAACAAAACTGAAACAAAATACTCCATTATTTTTCTGGAAATAAGATAGCTGGTTTTATATAGAAATGACACATTCTTAGACATCACTATAACAAGGGACACAGGTGAGAAAGGCCAAATGGACATTATTTTCTTTTTTTTTTAAAGATTTTATTTATTTGGTAGAGAGAGACACAGCGAGAGAGGGAACACAAGCAGGGGGAGTGGGAGAGGGAGAAGCAGGCTTCCCGCGGAGCAAGGAACCTGATGCGGGGCTCGATCCCAGGACTCTGGGATCATGACCTGAGCCGAAGGCAGACGCTTAACGACTGAGCCACCCAGGTGCCCCGGACGTTATTTTCTTTATGCCATAGAGAAAGGACTTGGAATAAACACTTTGTAATGTTGCACTATTTAGAACAACATGACAGGTTATGTGACCTTGGAATTATTTCTCCATTTTTGACATATTTCCTCACAGGGGTAACTACCTGAAGATTAAAAGCCTCACTATGTTTCAAAGTGAGGATTGGGCCAATTCAAGAAGTAAACAATTTCTCTTCAAGTTGATTCTCAAATATTTCATTCAGCCACTCTTGCCCATGAAAAATAAACATCTGTGATGAATATGGAAAGGGATATTTCAATTTTTGAGCTGATTAATTGACATTTTCAAGAGAGACGATCCAGCATGAAGATGTGGTTGTAGAGTACTCTTTAGAATTGGAAGAATTCAAAGGGAGAGAGGGGGTCATTGAGTGGCTAATTACTGTTAGCAATGGAACAAAGTAAAAACAGGACTTTATTGGAAATGAAGGGAAACTGCTATGTGAGGAAAAAAAGAATTGCCCAATATTGAATATGAACCCAATAATGCCTAGGTTGGACTTAGTGAGCCAGATAACAAGATATAAGATTTAATCCTTTTACTCAAAAACAGATTTTTGCTCTTCCAGTTTGCCTCTGTAAAATGCAGCTCTGTCTAGGGATTTCAGAGCACCATCCGGTCAACACAAAATCCCCATGGGGAAAAAAAAAATCAAGAGGAAGAACTAATAATGGAGATCCTGGTGGGATTAAGTTTCTTTTCTTCTCAATGAAACGTGAAAGATGTATTGCGCACAGTTTTGCAAGGACAGCTAATAAATATCACCACTGTGATTTTAGAGCTATATTATGCATGGAAGCAAAACCAAGTTAAAAGATAAAGGTTTCATATTTTCAAATGGCATTTGAAGTTCT